TTTGTAGTTACTTGGGAGGCCTAAGTTGGAGGATTGCTTGACTCTAGGAGTCTAAAGTCAGAAGTGGGCAAAATAGCAAGACCCCGGGTCAAAAAAAGAGAAAACCTAAAGGGGAATGAAAGAACTTTTAAACAATATCAGACCCATTATTAGTTTCTTTTTTTTCTCGTGGAGATGTACGTACTAGGCCTCTCCATTATCCTGCTCTAATCTGAAGTGGTTTCTGCTTCCTTAAACTGCCTTGTCTCCTATATTCTAGGATCTTCTTTGGGTTCTGACTGATTTTTTTATTGAGCTTTCTGGATTTTGCTAGAGCACATTTAAACAGAGCTTTATAAGAAAGTGTTCATGTGAAGGAAGTAAAGAACTTCCTTGCATGTCTCAAAATTCCTTTAATTTTTCACGCTTGATCTTTTGTTTGGTTGAACATGTAGTTCTACACTGAATTTTTTTTTTCAGTATAGCAGAGTTTTGGTAGAATTTAGTAGCGCTATTCAAAAGGCATTGCTATCATAGAGCATTTGTTAATAATATTCCTGTTTTAGTCTGCTAGCAGTTATCTACATGCTATCATTGGTCAATCCTTCGATAAAACTGCTATTTGAAGATAACTCCTCTTGGTTCTCTTGGATTTTGTACAGATGCTTTGTCTAAGAGGAGGAGGTGTTAAAAAACAGAACAGATGCCTTTGTTGTGGACAATCTTTTGAAGAATGTTTGTAAAGCAAGATAGGCATAGGATCTCCTCTGACAGCAGAGGGTCTGCAAGGATACTTCCTGTCTGTATAAAAGGTTTGGGTTCCCTAAGCCTTGGGTTCTTCTGTGTGTGCCAGTGTCCCTGGATCCTCTTCATATCACCTTGTGAGAATCTTAGCTGAGTAACCAGTGCATAAAAGGATAATTCTCTGGCTAATGATGTGACTGCAAGTTGTGAATAGTTCTTTGTCTCAGACCCTGGAGTCTTGTGTCTTCTGCCAGCATTGATAAAGCTGTGACTTTCAGGTAGGGTAAAAATCGTAGAGCCCTCGTACTTTTTTCACATCTGCTTTCTCTCTGAAAATGTCTTCAAGCACCACCCCATATTGTTTTCCTCTTCTTGTCATTTACTTGATTGTATATAGCATTTAGATATCTCTTTTTTTTTGGTTTCTTTATTTGCCCTAAAGACATTTTACAATGTAAATATTTTGTATACAGCAAAGCACAGTAAATATCAGGTATCAGCAAGTTTCTAAATTATAAATAATATGTTTTTTATTTGATTAAGTGGGTACCATGTTTCATTTTAAATTGTTTTGCAAAGCACATTGTATAAATAGATGAATACATGTATATACTCTTAAAATGTCTTCCATTTGTATATAATTGCCCTAAAAGATTTATCAAGATATGTTTTCTGTATTATGTATTATCTATTTATATCTTCAATAATGTTTATAAATTACCATTTGTTGGGTAATTACTGTGTCAGGTACCATGTAGTGCTTGTGATGTGGATTTTCTTACTAATTCTCTCAGTAGTCCTAAGAGGAAGACTTTTTAAACTTGTGTGTCTCTGTGTGTGGGGGGGAGGGATGGGGGGAAGAGAGAGAGAGAGAGAGAGAGAGAGAGAGAGAGAGAGAGAGAGAGAGAGAAGAGTCGCCCAGGCTGGAATGCAGTGGCATGGTCATAGCTCACTGCAGTCTTGAACTGCTGGGATCAAACAGTCTTCTTGCTTCAGCCTTCCCCGTAGGTGGGACTGCAGGTACACACTATCTCAGCTGGCTTTTTTTTTTTTTGTAGAGATCGAGTCTTACTATGTTGCCCAGGTTGGTCTTGAATTCCTGGTGTTAAGCCATTCTCTGCCTCAGCCTTCTAAATTTCTGGGGTTACAGGTGTGAGCCACTAAGTCCAGCCAAGAAAGATGTTTTTATTGTTCATATTTTACAGAAGAAGGCTTAGAAACATAGAAAGGGGCTGGGCGTGGTGGCTCCTGCCTGTAATCCAAACACTTTGGAGGCCAAGGCAGGTGGATCACCTGAGGTTGGGAGTTCAAGACCAGTCTGACCAACATGGTAAAACCCCGTCTTTTAAAAAAAAGAAACATAGAAAGGTACATAACTTGCATAATGTTATAAAATAGGTACTCTGCTATGAAACGGAGAAAAGGAAAAAGGAAAAAAAAAACCAGCTGTATTGTCTCATCTGAAAGATCTTCGGCACTGTTTAGTTTAAATTGAAACTATATAGTTCTATTGTTTTTTACTTTAAAAATAAATAAATAAAAATAGAGGTGGGGTCTGACCATGTTGCCCATCCTGGTTTTGAACTCCTGGGTTCAAGTGGTCTTCTCACCTCAGCCTCTAAAGTGCTGAGATTACAGGCATGAGCCACCGTACCCGGCCTATACTGTATAGTTCTCAAATATCGATTTGACATATATAATAACAGCTTTATTTACTGTAGTTATAATGGAATTCAGTGTAGTTCTTGCTGAAAGTAACTTCATTCAGCCACAGCTTAAAAAAAGTACCAGACAACAGAATAAAACCATGTAGGAGCTGATAATTTACACATCCAAATGTTGGGAAAATCTAAGTTGAGGTTCCACAGCAACCGCAGCTCAGCCTCAGGGCAGTGAATGTTTCCATCCAAACTTGACACCATATGTAGCTTCATGAAATAATGTTCTCCATGCTTTTAGGTGCCTGATAATGGCCACTGTGGGAACATGGCATAAATTATCAGTGACTGTTTTATCATTGTAATTTGGGGTATTTCATTTATGTGGCTGTTTTATAGTGCAACATAGGTGTTTCAACTGGTGATACATTTTGGTGGCATTTCAGTAGTGCTTCAATTATTAATGAATCCCGAAAAAAAGGTCTGTAATGTTTAAGATTATTTTATGTCCCACATCTGGTTTATAAACAACCACATTTTCTCTCCTCCCTGCCCCCAACTCCCATTGGAAAAGCATAATTTTGGGAGTTCGTGTTTACATTCCAAGTGCAGTTCTCAGGCAGGTTTAAGATGCTGGTTAACCTTTGAAATGTATTATGTGCTGGTGCTTAAAGGAGATAGATGACTAAGCAGTACTTATGAGAGCCTCTCAAGACACAGCATCATCAGTCAGATAGCCTGGCTTCCTGCAGAGCTCCACCATCCAGAAAGCACAGAACACAGCTATGACCCATAGAAAAGCTTGGTGCCCTTCGTTTCTACTTCTCGTAGGTTTGCAGAGGAAATGTCAGCTGGACCTTACTGCCTGCTTTGTCTTCTCTTAGTATCTCTTCAATGATTTAATATATTGTTTGACATTGTATCTTGAACCTGTAACTCTTGCTTATTCATTTTGTTGATTGTTGTTCCTGTTGATGGGATATATGTTTCTACTAGAAGTCTCTCAAAGAATGTGATTGAAAATATAAAATATGTGAACCTATGAATTATCTTGGAAAAAAGTTAATAAAATCACCATTGTCAAATTTATGTAATAGAAAAGATAAACCTAACAAATTATATGTATACATAAATTATACGTATAAACTTCTAAATATATTTTACTTAGTTGTATTTGGGAACATATTACTCCAGAGAGTCCTAGGCATGATTTTACTTGAATTAGCAAAACATTTACAGAGCTTCTACTAGGTGCCAGAGACTGTGTCTCTGCCATTGTGTTTGGAGAATCTGAGGATCTCGTAACTGTTCTAATCTGGCTAGTAAGTCCATTGATCTCAGTCAGGTATGTTTATCATTATTCAAATGATCTCGAAAAGTGAACTTTTAACTACTAATAATAGTGAACTCTTTAATGAAAAGACCGTGGCCGAGATTATAAATGAAGGCATGTTCTTGGGTGGCTTTTCATTTATTTTGTGAACTGCCATGTTTATTCCACATGCACCTTTTTGAGTACCAGCAAATTTAATGAATTTCTGTAACACATTGAAACAATTTTTACAAAATATTGGCTTTCTCAAAGAAAGTATAGGAAAACGGGGGTGCTGAGTGCTTTTCTACATTTGCTTGTCCTTGTGTTTGGTCCTTTATGCACGGAAGTAAACAGAAGTGGTCCATTATGGCTAAGACCTTAATGCCTTTACAATGCCTCCAAATAATCAGTTGATTGGCTTAGGGTAACTTTATGTGAAATTTTATAGGACAAAGGCTGTAAAGTCTGCAGCTATACTATTGCATGTTCCTTCTGACAAACTGTTAGTATGAATCGAGGACTGAGAAATATGGCTTAGAAGCTTTTGGTAATGTTATGGATTATAATAGTTTTGAGTAGGAAGCTGTTTTCAAACATGCATTTCCAACGTCATGTATATTGGTTTATCAATATATTATAACAGTGGAATAATATATAATTACTTCCTAAAATATACATGAAAAGAAGTGAAAAATGATCAGATAAGAAAATTAGTGGCTAGATGTGGTGGCTTAACGTTAAGCCTTTAATCCCAGTACTTTGGGAGGCTGAAGCAGGTGGATCACTTGAGGTCAGGAGTTTGAGACCAGCCTGACCAACATGGGGAAGCCCTGTCTCTACTAAAAATACAAAATTAGCTGGACGTGGTGGTGCATGCCTGTAATCCCAGCTACTGGGGAGGGTGAGGCGGGAGGCGGGAGAATCACTTGAACCTGGGAGGCAGAGGTTGCAGTGAGCCAAGATCGCATCATTGTATTCCAGCCTGGGCAAGAAGAGTGAAACTCTGTTTCAAAAAAAGAAAAAGAAAATTAGCATAACCATACATTTTTGTTTGTTTGTTTTCTTTCTTTATCCCAGTAGTATATCTCGTTCACCTTCTGAGATACACTATTTCATAAGACTCTTGTTTTCTATTTTAGCTTTTTACAACACACACTCAGCTATCATTAAAGGTCATCCTTCTTAGAGGAAACAGTTACCATGATCATAATGCCTATTAGACTCCTATTTTATCCAGTTTCCTTTCACATTATAGCAAAAAACCTAACACAGAGTGTACTTTTCTTTGTGTTGGCTGCCTCTAGGATGAGGATGGGACAGAAGAAGATAACAGTCGTGTTGAACCTGTTGGACATGCTGACACGGGTTTGGAGAACATACCCAACTTTTCTCTGGAGTAAGTTACGGATGATTTCAACTTAGTTTGCAAAATACATGTGGCATCATTAATTGCAGCAAATATTCTGAAAGTGAATGGCATGAGGAATGTTTGTGCTTAGTTGAAAACATGCCTTGCACTGATTTGTTTTTCTAAAGAACATCTTTCATCTCTTGAGTTAATTATGTAATGTAAGCAGTATAGCATGGAATTTTATGTGTACCTGTCCTGAGTTTCATGCCCTGGCAAATACTGTTAAATTATAATATAAAATAGTATTTGATTGAAGATGTTTGTCATGTTAATAACACTGTAAACACCATAACTGTTTTCAGATTGCTTTGTGTGTCAGTATTTTGATCATGTGTTTGTTCTTCACTTTGCTAAATTAAAAAAATTTGAGGGCATACTTGAAAAACTAGTTAGATCATGTTAGCATTAGTTATTATAGTGTGTGTGTATGTATTTATTTATTGTTATTTGGAAAAATAGAATCTCTCAAGATATTTGATGAAAAATTGGAGGTCCTAGGTTAGGGATCTTGAAAATGTTTTTAAGTATAAAAGGACAAAGAAAAAAATTCTATTCGATCTACAATGTTTTGATTATTTTAAATATTGACATGTGTAAATGGTAGGCATTCTCAGGATTTCTTTCCTTGGTAGCTTAGAGCAGGGAGGACAGTCATTTCAGATATTTTTTATTTGACTTTGGGTAAAAGTTGAGGATACAGACATTGACATTTATGTACTTAATTCTGTCTTTTCTTGGTCTTCCAAGAGAAGTGAGATTAAGCAGGCACTAGGATCAGATGCTGTTTGAATGTATAGCAATCAGCACACTGAGTATTTACATTTAGTAAGTACTTGCCATGCCATAGTTCTATTAGAATGTGGAATAAAATCAGTTTATTGAAGTTTTACTGTTTTTAGCTTACAAACCAATGATTAGATAGTATTCAACCGGGATAATCAGTATCCAAAGTAGAATTTTATGAAATTTGGTGAAAAATAAAAGTAATAAATAATTCATTTAACCATTTGGCAGTATGGCGCAGTTTTTATGTTGTCCTAATTAGTGCATGTGATTAAATCTGTGCACATATTTTCAATTTTGATTCATTTGATACTCCTCTCTTTGTATTATGTATGCAGGACCTTCATAATACATAGGACAACCTCAGGTTTTTAGAAATATAATAGAAAAATTGGCATTTTCCATCACATAAAAACTGTATTGTGATCTTTGTGAAATCCACTGGTAATAATTTATGGTTTTCCAGCTGGCTTAAAATAGATATTTAATTGAAGTACTATTTCCAAGTATTGGTTGTTAGGTTAATGCTGCTTAGACCTCTGATGTAGTATGTATATATGAGCACATCTACAAAGAAAGGAAAATCTCATTTAAATAGTTTAGAAAATTACGTGGTACCAATTTTCATTAAACTCAGCCTTTATTGTATTAATAGTAAAGATTCATGGAAGTGACTTGACAAATCCATAGGTTATATAAGGTTATGTTCCTTACACAGAATACTTTAGTTTTGTAATAGTAACTTCATGTTATTTCATACAGTGTAAATAGCTTCTTAACTGTAGTCCCAACTACTCAGGATACTGAGGCGAGAAGGTTGATTGACCCCAAGAGTTCTAGGCCAGCCTGAGCAACATAGCAAGACCCCATCTCTAAGAAGAAAATTAATTACAAGGAATTTTATGAAAGTTATTTTATTTATAGTAGATAACTGTTCGCTTTGAGAAAGGAGTTTTACAAGCTGCACATGCAGCACTATTATAGCAGTTTAGGAAATAGTGACTTTGATTTGTCATGAAGTAGTGAGCAGTAAGGACAATGGTGATCTCCTTTGGACTGTCACTGACAGGGTTAAAACTTTGATCTCATTGGATTAGTGGAAGGATTAATGATGTGACATATACGAGAGCACTTTGTAAATTAGAAAGTGCTCTGTAGCTGCACATCTTTATTCAGTTAATCTTCAGAGTCCTTGACATAGGTGTTGGGATGGAAAAGTTTCAGTGCAAGTCTAGAGATTTGACTTGAAAGACATAAACTTGTATTGCCCAGAAGAATAGGGTCCAAGAGAAATGTTCTGTGTCATTTTAATGTAGTTATCTCTGATGATTGCTCTCCCTCCATGCCATCAGACTAGTGTTCAGGTATGTAGTGTTTAATGTTGCCTTCATCACCATGCTTATATTCCAGAATATGTATGTATATGCCTGTGCGCTTGGTGGGATTTTTGTTCTTTTCTCTTTTGTTGTTTATTTTGTGTCTGTGTTGTTGCAGTTTTCTGTTTTGTTTTGGTTTTGGTTTGTTTACAGTACACGTTCATGCTCCCTCATTCATCATTGTCTCACAGTGATATGGTAAAGCTCGTACAAGTCCCCAACGATGGAGGGCCTCTGGGAATCCATGTAGTGCCTTTCAGTGCTCGAGGCGGCAGGTAACGTATCTTGGAGGTTTTTAATTGAATCATAATGTAGAGTGTTTTATCTTCATTTATGCTCAGCTAGAGAGTGGTGTTGACTTAGCCTATGCTTAATAGGAAACATTCTCATTCGGAAGCAACTGCTACTTCATTCCTATGTATATGTCATAATCACAGAAAGCACTTAGCCTGATGAAGAGAGGTTTTGCAGGAACATGAAGAAACTGTGCATTTGAATTATCCTAATAAATTTATTGTTCATCAGACTCAAGCTAACATTTTACTTGGCTGTAAATTGTGATGGACTTTGATGTCAGAACTCCAGATGGATTTGCAATGTGAAGGAGAGTTTAAAACAGTTTTTTGTGGGGAAAGAAAAATGCAATAAAAATAATCTGGATGACTTAAATTTAATTTAAACTTAAATTTGTGTTTATGTAGTTCTTCAATTTTACAAGCTTTTTTGATTGTTAAAAACCTTTAATATGAAATTTTTAAAAATTAGGTAAGCCATAGATTTCTGAACAAAGTGTTAAAATGTTGTACTGTTTGTTAATCCCAACTTCATTACTTTATAAGACATGCGTCCTTAAAAACCTCAAATGTTATATCAGTTTCCTTGATTCTGCTCTTTTTTGTGTGTGAAAGGACTGTTGTAATATTTTGGTTTTAATGTACTCAAATAGTATGAATTGATTTTCCAAGGAAGGCTTGGCAGTCCTCTGCCATAGACAAGTGAGGTGCGCCATGTCCTTCCCCTTGAGTCCAAACCTGTGCATGTTGAACTTACTGAATTTAATTGCATCTTCTCTTACTTGCTTTCTAATGATTACCTGGGAAAATATATTTACGAGCTATTTCGGCTTTTTAATTTGTAACTTCTTATTTCTTTTATTGTTATTACCTTATTTTTTTTCTTTTATTGTAACTATCTTTTTACATGGTGAGAAAAAGTGGGGAAGGTGGAAGGTAGCCTTATACCAGTGACTGAGACCTTAGAACATAGTTTAAACTGTTGTTAAGGAATTACATGCATCTAGGCTGTTGTAAAAGACAGATGTGTGTGATTAAATTATGCATTTTATTTTTTAGAAGGAGTATTTGTGCAATGGTAGTACCTTCTTGTTACATGTAAATAACTGTGGCGAGTTCAGATTTCATCTCTCTAGTAAAGCTCATGATTCATCCTATGTCCTAAGCTGAAACTTGACTTAGAACTCTGCTGGAATATGAATAAGGCTTAGATGTTAGTGTTACAAAACAAGGCATGAAATTCACCTTGAATTTTTGAGTGGTGTTATATTCACAGAGTTGTGGCTGCTTTTACTTTTTTATTTGTCTTTAAAATTCTTTTCTTAACTTTGGTGAAGCATTAAAATTTCTTCAAATAACTTAGAGTTAACAATATTATTTTCAGCATGGCCTTGCCTTTACTTTGTATAAGAAATTGAGTTCTAAATTACCTCAAAAGTTAGATTATTTCTTCCATTTCTTTCCTGAGTAGGAAAAAAGAAGATAAGGTAAAATGCATGGATTATAGCTTTTCAATATGCATATGCCTTAAAATGCCTGTGAAACATAATTTCATCACAAATGAGATTTAATTGTGTCTATACCAGCTTTGAGCCAGCATTTCAATTACAAACATTGTTATTATATTTTGTCGTTTATTGCATATTTTCTACCTCACTGTGAAAGGATATTAGGGTAAAGTGAACAGATGAAAAGTCTAAAGCGAAAGGAGAGTAAGATGTAAAAATAAACTTACCTAGATTGTGTCAAAGGAAGGCATTTCACAAAATCCACCACAGTTTCTGGTTACCATGGCATTTAGTTTTGATACACCAAACAGATTCAAGAAAACAAGTATGTTTGTGCAGAACTAGTTCTTTTATAGCTGAGTCATTTTTAATCCCTATTAGTTTGCATTTAAAGAAGAAAGTCGTACATAGGTTTTCAAAGAGACAGAGATTTAAGAAAAGCAGATTATCTATAATCTCTTTTTAGGCATCACCAGTTTTCACATGGAAACTGAGCAGAAATAGTTTATGATTCTTCACCACCTGTTTTACATCATTAAGCTTCCTCGTGGACTGGATAGTCATGATTCCTCAGAGTCGGGTTAACAATGGGAGACAAAAAGTAGGTGGTCTGCTCAGATTGGCAGGTACAAGAACCCAGAGAGACCCACCTTTCTCATTCTCAGAAATGCTCAGAAATGGATTCCTGTTATTTCCAGAGAAACTCCCCAAGCGTATCACATGTGACAATTCCTGTGTTAGGTGCTAGGAAACAAAGATGAGCAGAATATGTTCTTCCCCAAGGGATTTGCAGTCTAGATGCAGTGATAGCCAAGAAATCAGTCACACAATTAGAATTATGTGACAAATATTGATACAGCTATATAATAGGTGCTCTGCGAGCAGATAGGGGAAGAATGGTCTGAATTAGGTACCTGAAGTGGTTTGTTGCGGAAGATATTTTTAACTGTGATGATACCTTGTAGAGGTAGTTGTGTCAATTCCATGGTGGTTTGTGCAGGAGTATGTTAAGCAATGAATGCACTATAGCAGAAAGGAAGAAATTAAGTGAAATTAAGAAATTGCACATATATCTAGTGTGAATACAAGAATACATATTAATGATATGTAAGTAGAAATTTACAGGATAACTTTGTATAAAATTCCAGTCATTCTTGGGCCTTCTCAATTTTGGAGCTATAACTAATTGAATAACGCTTATTGAATACTTGTTTTTATAAAAGTGACAAATACGTGTCAGCATTGCTTTCTCATTTAGATTTTCAAAGTCAGAGTCTAAGAAATAATGCAGAATACCAGTTTTTTATTGTGAAGAGAAGGAACACAACCCATACCACCTCAAATATCAAATGTCATTAAGGAAAATAGTAATGTAAGCTTGTGAAATTAATATTAGAATTTTACAGCCATTTAGATCTTATTACAGTGTGCTATATGATGATTTTTTTTTTTTTTTTTGAGATGGAGTCTCACTCTGTCACCCAGGCTGGAGATCCTGGCTCACTGCAACCTCCGCCTTCTGGGTTCAAGTGATTCTCCTGCCTCAGCCTCCCAAGAAGCTACAACAACAGGCATGTGCTACCATGCCTGGCTAATTTTTGAATTTTTAGTAGACATGGGGTTTCACCATGTTGGCCAGGTTGGTCTGGAACACTTGATCTCAAGTAATCCACCCGCCTCAGCCTCCCAAAGTACTGGGATTACAGGTATGAGCCACCACGCACCGCAAAAGTTTTAAAAAATAAGAATCTTGCGTGGGTTACTGTCAAAACTATTTTGTAGGCTAGGTTGAATGTTGTTTTTCATCAGGGGCATTAATGACAATTAGCTCATCCTCCAACCCCTGCCTTAGTTGACTGCCTGCTGATATTTAGAAATGGAGACAAACAGATACAGACAATATTATCTTCCCCATGATGATGTTTTTCTTGAGTTATTGTCTTGTAAGTTATTCCGAAATAAAGTTAACTGATCCTCGTGTAGAACTAGTCATTCACAATTTCATTACTTTGATGATTCCTTTTTAAAAATTATTTTCTTAGTAGAAAAATATTTACCTGAAATGTTTCATTACCTTGGAATCAATTTTTATTTCACCTATATCATTTCATTTCCTCCTGATTTAAATGATAAACATTGACTGGGCATGGTGGCTCACACCTGTGATCTCAGCACTTTGAGAGGCCTAGGCAGTCAGAGCACTTCAGGTCAAGAGTTCAAGACCAGCCTAACCAACATGGTGAAACCCTGCCTCTACTAAAAATACAAAAATTAGCTGGGCATTGCGGCAGGCACCTATAATCCCAGCTACGTGAGAGGCTGAGGCATAAGAAATGCTTGAACCCAGGAGACAGATGTTGCAGTGAGACAAGATGGTGCCACTGCACTCCAGCATAGGTGACAGAGCAAGGAAACATCTCTTTATTTAAACCACAAGTGCCACTATTTTCAGGAAGGTTATGCCAAATAGTTGTGACTATCTTTGGCTGAAGAACTTTGCTTTTATATTATTATTTTATTACTTTTTAAAATATTTCTAGAACCTAGATGTTGATATTGGTCTACAGGACCATAGATAATGCTTAGTAAAGTGTAATCAGCACAGGAGCCAATGAACCCATGACTATCCATATTAGGTATTGTGTTACTATATTAACAGTGAAGTGAGAATGATACATCCTGGCCTGGATGGTGGTTAATGAGTATTTCTGACACTTTCTCATGAAACACAAATATGATTATGATATAATGTCAAGTGTATAAAAAGCAACATAAAAATTGTATGCCAAAATAGGGACTGGACCTATGAAATGATAAGATTTTGTGTTTGAGGCTGGGCATGATGGCTCATGCATGTAAACCCAGTACTTGTGGAGGCTGAAGTGGAAGGATCACTTGAAGCTGGGAGTTGAAGTCCAGCCTTTGCAATATGGTAAATCTTGACACTACAAAAAATACAAAAGTTATCCGAGTGGGATGGGACACACCTATGTTTCTAGTCACTTGAGAGGCTGAGATAGGAGGATTACTTGAGTCTGGGAGTTTGAGGCTGCAGTGAGCCATGATCATGCCACTGTACTCCAGCTTGCATAGCAGAACGAGAGCCTGTCCCTAACAAACAAACAAAATAAATAAATAAAATACAGCCAGGCACAGTGGCTCACACCTGTAATAACAGCCCTTTGGGAGGCCAAGGTGGGTGGATCACCTGAGGTCAGGAGTGTGAGATCAGCCTGGCCAACGTGTTGAAACCGTGTCTCTACTAAAATTACAAAAATTGGTGCCAGGGGGGTGGTTGGTGGGCACGTATAGTCCCAGCTACTCGGGAGGCTGAGGCAGGAGAATCACTTGAACCTGGGAGGTGGAGGTTGCAGTGAGCTGAGATCATGCAATTGCATTCCAGCCTGGACAACAAGAATGAAACTCCATCTCAGCAAATAAAATACAATAAAATAAAAATAAAAATAAAAATTA